GAGCCTGGTTAGACGAAAACCTGTCAAAAGGTTTTATTCGCCAGAGTTCCTCACCTGCCGCCTCGCCAGTTCTTTTCGTAAAGAAGAAGGAAAGTCCTCGACATCCAACTCCTCATCGTCCTCGTCGTCGTCGAGCTCCTCGAACTGCAGGGCCTCGCCGGTGAACCAGTCGATGGCGCGGGGGATGAGCTTCTCCTTGATGTCCTCGCCGAGCTGGTAGTCGAGCTCGAGGCGCTCCTCGATGTCGGCGGGGATGTCTTCCTCGTCGGCTTCGTCGTCGTCGCCGCCATTGTGGTTCGGGGCCTTCGGGGGGGAGAAGAAGTTGAAGAAGGATTCAGTCGGGACCGTCACTTTCACGACGCGGGTTTGCTTGGTGTCTGGAAGTCTGTGTTAGCGATGTCAATGTTAATTAGTAGGAGCGTGGGTTGGACTCACTCTTATTCCTCTGCTTCTTCTGCTCGATGCGCACCGTCAGGTTCTGGCCGGCCTTCCACTCGATCTTATCGCCCTCCGCATGATCGTAGATAAAGTCACCACCGTACCCGTTCTCCTCCTGGTAGTAGTAGGTCTTGCTGATGGTCTTGTTGCTGAAGAACGGGTTCTCCGCGAACTCGAAGATCAAACGGAACCCAGGCTTATCGAGGTACTCCATGCGGATATCCGTAAGGAACTTAAGAGCCTCCTCATCCTTCTGTGTGATCATGTCCGCCAACGACAACTGGTTCTTCATCGCGCTCAGCCAGAACTCGGGGATACCGCTCGCCGCAGCCGCAGTATCGACCTCCTTCTTCTCCTCCTTGTCCTCCTCCTTCTTCTCCCCCTCCTCCTCCTCCCCCTCAGGCTGCCCCGCCTTCACCTCCTCCTCGCTCGGCTCCTGCTGCCCATTCACAATCCCATACCGCTTCTCGTACAGCGGCTTGAACTTCCCAAAGTACTTCTTCTCCAGCTGCAGGATCTCCTCGTGCAGCTCCGCCTCGATCTTCGCGTGCTCCTTCTGGATCCCCTTGAGGCCCGCAACCCGCTTCTTGATCGGGCCCGGCAATGACTCAACGTACCCCGAGGACCGCCCGATTAGGGAGCCCAAGCGTCCTTGGATCATGTTCACCAGTTGCGGGTTTTGGGCGAATATCGAGGCGGCGGCCGCGCGGTCGATGTCATCTGGAGGATCGTTAGAATATGTTGTGGTTCGTTGCGGATGCATGGATTAGTCTGCTTACCCTCCTTCAGGTCTGGCAGACCAGGCTGTTGGGCGTGGGAGGTTATGGGTGCGTTATTGGCGGGGGTGTTTTGGGGAGTACTGATACGGGGTCAGTCAGCAGTCAACGACAACATGTAAAATAGATGAATACATACGGAGCAGTGATGAAATCAGCTCTCTTGTTTCTGATGGGTTCAGTCATGTTGGAATTAGATGTTTAAAACGGTGTATATGGGTGTATGTGATAAAAATGCTTGTTGGGAGAGATGGTTGTCGAGATGAAATGAATTGAGGTTGAGTCTGAAGATGCAAGAGAAGGGAAGAGAGAGAGAGAAGAGAGAGAGAAGGTTGGTCGGGTTTCCGTTTTAATTTTTTTTTTCTCTTCCTCTTTTCTTCCTTTTTTCGCTGTCTACAGTTTTTATTTTTTTATTTCTTTTCCCTTTTTTTTTTTCCTTTTTTTCGCTTTTGTTGAGACGTGGCTTGGCACCGCCAAAATTTAGATCGAAAAAGACTGCATAAGGAACTGCTTTAAACTGCCTATTATTCCTTCTTATCTCTCTTCTGTCATTCTCATCGTCATCATCGTCATCTCGTTGCGTTCTCGACCAGCCTGACAGAGAGAAATGCATAGAAGTGAGGGGAGCATCGATGTTAAAGAGATGTGACGATATAGACCAATCTTAACCCCCCTAAAAATATCATTCAGGCAGTTGGCCGAGTGGTTATGGCGCTAGGTTTAGGCTACATCAGCGATCCCTAGTTTCGAAAGATTCGCGAGTTCGAATCTCGCACTGCCTAGAATTTTTTGGTTTTTTCTCATTTCATTTTCACTCCCTGTCATTTTAATATCATGACTATGGAAAAGAGAATGAAAGTCAAGAAGCAAAGAAATGGAGAAATGAAGTTGACATTGTATGCAGAAATATATACACTCTACCATATCGTACACAACCTACTCTACAACCCTCCCAGCCAACGACCCCATCCAACTCTTATCCCCTGCCTCCCCTTCCTTTCCCTTCCCAC